AAAGGCCTCAATCCTTTTGCACTCAGCCTTCCTTATGGTCCAGCTTTTACAGCCATACATTGCAACTGGGAAAACCATAGCCTTGACTATACGCACTTTTGTTGGCAGGGTGATGTCTCTGCTTTTTAGTATGCTGTCTAGATTTGCCATAGCTTTCCTCCCCAGGAGCAAGCATCTTTTAATTTCTTGGCTGCAGTCCCTGATCTGTCACTACCTCCATTTCTTCCCCGTCTATTTGCCAGGAAGTGAGAGGACTGGATGCCATGATCTTAGTTTTCTTAATGTTGATTTTCAAGCCAACTTTTGCACTCTTCTCCTTCACCCGCATCAAGAGGCTCTTTAGTTCCTCTTCACTTTCTGCCATTAGAGTGGTATCATCTGCATATCTGAGGTTGTTGATATTTCTCCCAGCAATCTTAATTCTGGCATGTGATTCATCTAGCCCTGCCTTTCTCATGATGTGCTCTGCAGATAAGTTAAATAGGCAGGGCAACAGTATACAGCCTTGCCGAACCCCTTTCTCAATTTTGAAACAATCAGTGGTTCCATGTCCAGTTCTCACTGTTGCTTCTTGACCCACACATAGGTTTCTCAAGAGACAAATAAGATGGTCTGGTATTCCCATCTCTTTAAGAACTTGCCACAATTTGTTGTGATCCACACAATCAAAGGCTTTAGCATAGTCGATGAAGCAGATGTTTTTCTGGAACTCCCTAACTTTCTCCATGATCCAGCATATGTTGGCAATTTGATCTCTAGTTCCTCTCCCTCTTCGAAATCCTGCCTGTACTTCTGGTAGTTCTCGGTCCACATACTGCTGGAGCCTAGCTTGTAGGAATTTGAGCATCACTTTGCTAGTGTGTGAAATGAGTGCAATAGTGCGGTAGCTTGAACATTCTTTGGCATTGCCCTTCCTTGGGATCGGAATGTAAACTGACCTTTTCCAATCCTGTGGCCACTGTTGAGTTTTCCAAATTTGCTGGCATATTGAGTGTAGCACTTTTACTGAATCGTCTTTTAAGATTTTGAATAGCTCAGCTGGAATACTGTCACCTCCACTAGCTTTGTTGTTGCTCAGACTTCCTAAGGCCCATTTGACTTCACATTCTAGGATGTCCGGCTCGAGGTCAGTGACCACCCACTGTGTTTATCAGGGATGTTAAGCGCTTTCTTGTATAGTTCTTCTGTGTAATCTTGCCACCTCTTCTTAATCTCTTCTGCCTCTGTTAGGTCCCTGCCATTTTGGTCCTTTATCATGCCCATCTTTGCATGAAATGTTCCTTCATATCTCCAATTTTCTTGAAGAGATCTCTGGTCCTCCCTATTCTATTGTTTTCTTCTATTTCTTTGCACTGTTCATTTAAGAAGGCATTCTTATCTCTTCTAGCTATTCTCTGGAATTCTGCATTCAATTGGGTGTATGTTTCTCTTTCTCCCTTGCCTTTTACTTCCCTTCTTTCTTCAGCTATTTGTAAAGCTTCCTCAGACAGCCATTTTGCTTTCTTGCGTTTCTTTGCTTTGGGATGGTTTTAGTTGCTACCTCTTGTACAATGTTGCGAACCTCTGTCCATAGTTCTTCAGGCACTCTGTCTATCAGATCTAATTCCTTAAATCTATTTGTCACCTCTACTGTATATTCATCAGGGATATGATTTAGGTCATACCTGAGTGGCCTAGTGCATTTCCCTACTTTCTTCAATTTAAGCCTAAATTTTGCAACGAGAAGCTCATGATCTGAGCCACAGTCAGCTCCTGGTCTAGTTTTTACTGACTGTATAGAGCTTCTCCATCTTTGGCTGCAGAGCTCATAGTCAATCTGATTTCTGTGTTGACCATCTGGTGATGTCCATGTGTACAGTCATCTCTTGGGTTATTGGAAAAGAGTGTTTGCTATGACCATTGTATTCTCTGGACAAAATTCTACCAGAGTGTGTCCTGTTTCATTTTGTACTCCAAGGCCAAACTTGCCTGTTATTCCAGTTATCTTTTGGCTTCCTACTTTAGCATTCCAATCCCCCATGATGATAAGGACATAATTTTTTGGTGTTCATTCTAGAAGGTGTTGTAGGCCTTCATAGAACCGGTCAACTTCAGCCTGTTCAGCACCAGTGGTTGGGGCATAAACTTGGACTATTGTGATGTTGAATGGTTTGCCTTGGATTCGAACTGAGATCATTCTGTCATTTTGGAGATTGTATCCCAGTACTGCTTTTCCTACTCTTTTATTGACTATGAAGGCTACTCCATTTCTTCTGAGGGATTCTTGCCTACAGTAGTATACATGATGGTCATCTGAATTAAATTCACCCAGTCCTGTCCATTTAGTTCACTGATTCCTAAGATGTCGATGTTCAGTCTTGTCATCTCTTGTTTGCCCACATCCAGCTTGCCTTGATTCATGGATCTTACATTCCAGGTTCCTATGGAGTATAGATCTTTGCAGCATCAGACTTTCCTTTCACCTCCAGATACATCTGCGACTGAGTGTCCTTTCAGCTTTGACCCAGTCGCTTCATTCTTTCTGGTGCTACTAGTACTAGCCCTCCACAATTCCCCAGTAGCATATTGGACACCTTCTGACCTGAGGGGCTCATCTTCTGGCATCATATCTTTTTGGCTTTTGGTACTGTCCATGGGGTTTTCATGGCAAAGGTACTGGAGTGGGTTGCCATTTCCTTTTCCAGTGGATCACGTTTTGTCAGAGCTCTCTGCTATGACCTGTCCATCTTGGGTGGCCCTGCACGGCATAGCTCATCACTTCATTGAGCTACACAAGCCCCTTCGCCATGACAAGGCAGTGATCCATGAAGGAAAGCCAAACCATAGACAAGAGAAATTATTATTATCCCATTGCATTATGGGCCACCATTTTTCCCTCTTGCGAAGGACCCAAGGTGGCTTCCACAGTCTTCCCCTGCTCCATTTTATCCTCACAAAAACAACCCAACCCTGCGAGGTGGGTGAGGCTGACAGCATGGGTAACTCAGTGAGCTTCATGGCTGAGTGGGAACCAAAATCTGGATCTCCGAGATCCCCAGTCTAAAACTCCAACCACCACACTCTATTGATTCCTTTGGGCCATGTGACAGTTTTGGATACCATCACCCCAGATGACCTTCAGGTACCTGCATTACCACTTCTACTACTGCTACTACCACCATGGCTATGGGGAGAAATGGTTAATCATTCCTTCATCTACTGTTGCTGTCCCAGTAGGGCAGGTTACTATCCCTCAGCTACAGCCCACATCATTTATCATATGAGAATAATAACATTGTCCAGTCTCTGTTTGCTTTACATAAAGCATAATGCAGATCATGAGGATTTACTGTGCAAATATTGCTTTTATGATAAGACGCTTCACTTTCATAATCCAGGAAGTATCCAGTGGAGCCGTCAGCTGTCTTGCATTCATCCCTATTCAGGGTGTCGGGAGAAGGTAGTGGAACCTCGGTGCCCATGATCCAGAACACTTCTGATGAGCATGGACTCCTTAATCTTCCACCCCTTCAGAATTCTCTGTTTCCTCTGAGCTTATCTGTAATCCACATGGTAGCTGGGAGGAAATAGATCTTCCCACAAAGAATACATTGTTGTGAGCTCTTCCTGTTGTGATGCAACATATTTGTGGGTAGTTTGTTACTGATTCATAAACTTTACACCCATAAGCTTTACGATCATTCTAGGGAAGCTGGAGGCAGAACACAAATAAGACAAATGAGGAGATGGATTAATTCTGTAAAGGAAGCCACAGCCTTGAATTTACAGGAACTGAGCAGGGATGTCTAGATAAGACATCTTGGAGGACTTTCATTTGTAGGGTCTCCATAAGTTGGAAATGACTTGATGGCAGACAGACAGATCTCTATTCTCTCTTTCCATCCATGCTTTATTTGAAAAAGAACATTTTGCAAATAATGTAAGTGTTGCCCAGCGACATGGAACCAGCAATGAAAAAAGAAAAAGACGTCCCAGGAGCTTCTTAGGGAGTTGGCCACAGGGAGACATGTCAGCTCTGTACCAAAAGCTGAGAAAACAAGTCCAGTACTATGAGGGTATCAGGAGAAAGAAGAACTTCCAGAAGAGGAAGAAGAAGTGCAGGGATGGGAAGGTATTTGACTTTACAATTAAACTGAAATCCATCCATGCTCCGTTGATTATTCTTCAGCAGAGGAGAAGCAATTGAGGGAGAAATATTTCATTTCCTCCTCCCACTTCAGGTGTGGCATGCACTGTTTGATATCCTGTAACCTTGCCTGTGCAGCTTTGCCATGAGCAGTCCACCTGCTGCATGAACAGATAGACTTTCAGTTCTGCAGGAGTTGGCAGCAGGAAGCAATCCTCCTGTGAACCAGGTAAAATCTCTCTGCTTTCTCTGAGTTGGGATAGTATTTATTTATTGCTTGGTTGTATGTATTATATCTCCGCACACACTGCCTGAAGTGCCTTCAGGTAGCTTATTCCCAAATATATCATTTATATTCTGAAAACACATTTAGAACAATGAAAACCATACACAGAATCTACTTTGTGATTGTTTACTGTCTACTGAGAAGTAAGTCCACTGAGTTCTTAGTAGCTCACTGCCAGGTAAGGCTGCTCGAGGATTGCAGGCTCAATTGGTACTGGAAGGATTAGGTTAAAATGTAAATGTTAGATCAGAGAAGGTGATAACACACCCTCCAGCTCAGTTAACTATCACTGTCCAGATACCTGTGGAGTGACCTCAGTAGTACTGGAAGTATATTTTATGGTTAATTAATACATCAGGGTTGGCTTGCCAGTCTCAGCTGCAGTCATGACTTCCAAAATAATTCTATGTATGCATATTCAGAAGTCAAAACTATTTTTATTTGATTCATTCCATTATGCAACCAACGTTGGACATAGTGGCTGTTACCTTGAAAATGCAGATCAATAGTTTAGGGGATTCCTACTGAAACCAGCCATAACCTGGGTTTCCAGGGCCTTGACAATGGCCAGGGGTCCCTTTGCCCAAGCTGAGTCTGTTCAGCCAACTCTGTCTTGTTCCTGTCGAACGCAGGTCTGTCCATAGTGACAAATGCCTCCGTTATATAATGTTGTTGAAAAAGCTGCTTTTCCAGTCGTCTCTAAGGGTGATTTACAACTGGCCAAACAGATGTCTCGTTAGCAGATCCTTTCACGCATGTCACTGAGGCAGTGAGCATGTCCTACCTATCTTGGTGTGTTTATTTCTGTATGCGCCCTTTGCTGGGGATGTTGAACAGATGGGGAGGATGCTGAAGGTATACCTTGCCTAAGATGCCAAAATACTCTGACATGGCCCTGGATTCCATTTGCGCCTGTGTGTCCCCTCATCTCCTGCAGATGTTCATAGTTCATCTAGGTCCATTCTGAGGCATGCCAGACACTGGAAACAAACACAAGCCGCTATACACCTGCACACCCTGGAAGTAAGAAAAGCACTTTTGCAATCCTGTGGTGCTGTGGTTTAAACCACTGTGCTGCTGGGCTGGTTGATCGAAAGGTCACCGGTTCGAATCTGCGTAATGGGGTGAGTTTCTGTTGCCCCGTCCCAGCTCCTGCCAAGCTTGCAGTTCGAAAGCATGCAAATGCAAGTATATAAAAAGGTACCACTTCAGTGGGCAGGTAACAGCTTTCCGTGCACTTCGGTGTTTAGTCATGCCAGCCACATGACCACGGAGACTGTTTGGGGACAAACGCTGGCTCCCTCGGCTAGGAAACGGAGATGAGCACCACCCCCTAGAGTCAGGCATGGCTGGACTTTAATGTCATTGGGAAATCTTCACCTTTATTTGCATTTTAGAATGCTACTGGCTGCTTCTGGTAGCTATTACCTCTGATGGGCGACACTTTCTTACCTCTCACCTAACCATCTCCTAGAGTATTTATGACATGTGTGCGATTTTTTCTCTTTACATGAGAGGAAACCTGCCCATCTACAAGCACATCCATATGCCTTTGGAGGAGAAGGCTTAAAGCACTGGTCTGGATCCAGTCCAAAGCACTGGTCTGGATCCAGTCCAAACACTGGTTTGAATTCAGAGCAGGTTAGCTGAATTTACTTCCCACTGAAATTAAGGAACACCGTAATGACTAAGTTGATCTCACTTCTTTCAATGGGATCTGAGCTCAACTAGAGACTGAGCAAACTTCTCAATCTCAAATACTATCAAGTGAGCACCTCGAAGCTGGCTTGCTTGATAATCGTTTTAAGAACTCCTGCATTGCCACAGCATTCCCCTGGTCCCCAGGCACCTGTCCACCTTTTTCCACAGCCACCCATCTGGGAAACACTACGGCTGCATGAAGTGGTCAGGACTTAAAGCAGAATAGCTGCGACCGCATCACAGCACCTTTGTAGCATCCCCCAATGCAACAAAGCACGAGCAGCTCCAAGGAAGCAGAAGAGGTGCCCGGCAGGTGGAGGACCATCAGCCGTCGTGCCCATAGGCAGCCAGCCACACAATTGCTGCCTTGCGAAGCGTGCAGTCGCCGTTTCCAGAGAAGCAACCAAACCCTCCCTCCACATTCGGCTCTTAGGGTAATGCCAAGCCTCATTTCTCCTCAGGCTCATCCGGGTCCCAGCCACTGCCGCTCCCAGCTTTCTGCCATCTCCTGTTCTCCCCGAGCCTGATGGAGTAGCATTCGACTTTAATGTCATTGCATGTTAATGTTTAATGTGTATACTGTGATTATATTGCACTGATTATTTTTAAGGTTATCTAAGAATTATTTTGTTCCAAAGGGCAGCCACTAAGGATCTTAGAAATAAATAAGAAATATGATCTGCTAGGAATTGTTCCCTGGAAGAAGAGGAGCACTGCACACCAACAGGGCACCACCTGAACCTAACCAACAATGGCCGGCTTCCCTCCTCTGTTTGCAAACAGATAGAAAAGAGCAAAAACGTTGTGCTTGTTCACACAGTTTTGAGAATTTCAGCCTGGAGCTCAGTGCAGATGGAAATGTGCCTATGGCAGGCTTGAATGGGGCTCAAAGACAGAGATCCCAATTTAAGCAAAAATCCCATACTTTTAACATACATTTCATCTATAATCTCCAGTAGACCCATTGGTAAGAAGTTCCTTCCAAGCTTACAGTCTAGTTATTGCACTAAATTTTAATTATTGCACTGGATTTTAAGCCACTGCACCTACATATGATTAAGTTCTGTGTTGCATTATAATCTATTGATTACTTACTTATTACATTTCCATACTGCCTGAGAGCAAAAAATACAACCCTAAAATAGAAGGTTTATTTTAAAACAGAATGCAGCCAGATACTTGGGTTGTATGTGAAACTTGAGGCACATCCAAAAATTGAAAGTGTAAAAAGAAAGTGTCACACTCATTAGGATGTGAAGGTAGCGATGATAATTATCATTGCTGCAAATACTGTCACTGGGCACAGACAAGGCTGGTTAAAATTTCCATAAAATGCCTAGACGAGTTGTGGGCACAGTTAGCACAAGGTGTGGTGTTGAAGTGAGACATGTGGCCCACTTCATCTGGTCAGGGAAAACAAGAACATGCTAGATGAGATCAAGGGCTCATCTAATCCAGGATTCTGTTTTTGAGGGGACCAATGGGATGCCCTCAGCAAACCCACTAGTAGGACATTAGCATGGCATCACCTTCTGCCCATATTCTCCAGAGGGTGCTGGAAGCAGCATCAGCCATCAGGACGAGCAGCCACAGATAGCCTCCCCCTCCAGGGATTTGCCCAATCTTCTTTTAAACCCATCCTAATTTGTGGCCATGACTACAGCTTGTGGAAGCAAATTCCACAGCTTAATTATGAGCTGTGTGAATAAGTACCTCCTTTTTCTGCCCTGACCTTCCCACCAACCAACTTCCTGAGATGACCCGTTCAGGTTCCAGCATTACCAGAGAGGAAGAAAAAATGTCTCCCTGTACTTTTTCCATACCATGCATAATTTTGTCCGTCTTTATCAAGATTCCCCTTGCTCACTTTTTTCCTAAACTAAACAGTCCAAAAATAGGAGAAAGCAGCAACAGAAAAAAGCTATGCTTGGGGCCGTTGCTGCTCCAGGAAGAAATAAAGCCCTCTGCCCAAGTTTAAAGAGTAACTTACATCTAAAGTGCTAATAATAGGAGAAGCAAGTAAATGATTAGGCAGCTGCACGCCATTGTGCGCTTACAAACACAGAACAGTGAAAAATCTGTCCCTGCGTGCTCCTTTGGACTCCCATGTTGGACAGAACCAAGAGCATGCCTTTGCATCAGATGGATTTTGAAGGGTTTGGAGTGGAGTCCAATAATTTAGGATGGATCTGGGCAGAAAGTCTGCCTGGTAATTTGCTGATATATTTCAAAGAGGGGTCAATTGCTGGCCCCAAGCAAAAAGTAACCTATGACAACCCAGGCTCTTGTTGAACCAAAAGGTCCGTGTCCTGGTGTGCGTTTGCCCAAAATGCACAACAGGAAGTTTCTCTTTTGAAGGATTTGTTCACAAGAATAACTGACTACCAACAAATCATTCCAGAAGGTGCGCCTGAGGAGGCCTCAGCTGGTCCTTTAAATATATTGATCATGAAAGGCTTACACATAACACAGTTAACATTTTGTAATAGGTTACAGAAGTAAAAAGTTGCAATGGTGAACTTTCCTGCCCACATACCAAAGCAGAGAGAAGATGCTAGGAGGAGGATGGGGAAGTTCGGTGTGAATTGCCCTTTGTTTGGGCAGCTTTTATCTGTCAAGGGTCAACTGGCTCTCTCTGGAATGGTGTCTGGTTAAAATTCAGTTTCATTTCAAGGATGCGCAAATGCGAATTTCTACAAAAGAGGGTTTTTCTCTGGGCCAGCTATGTGTCAATGGCTGCATGATTTAACCAATGAAAGTTAAACATATTGATCCGTACATCACTCTTTTCAATGTCATTTGCCAGATCACTCCTGACTTTTTACCTAAACTGATACCTCAGGAGTGCCTAACCTTTCTTTGCTTCCCCATGATTCTTTTCTCTGCCTGTTCCCTAAATCACCCACAAAAGCTTAAGTCAGGAGTGCACAGATCATCACCTCTAACTCTTCTTCCATGTACATCAGTCACTATCCATGTCTGAACAGACTACCCAGATGTTTTATGTCACGAACACATTTTCTGGGGTTTTAGTTTTCCAAGGTTTTTCAAAAAAGCAGGTTTGTCATATTATGTCCAAGATATTGATGGAAGTAGAGATACATCTGTAGTGTCAGCGATACAGGCTCAGTTCCATGTTGGGGGGCAAGCATTTGAGTCTGGGTTTCTTGCGGAATTAACTTGTTTGGTTGATTCTGTTCAGTCTTAAATGCTGTGTCCATTGAAACATAAAGTAGCATTAGTTACAGGACACCATGATACTCGGTTGTTATGGAATCATCGGTGCAGCACGACAAGTGATCACCCATCCGCAGCCTCCAACACATGCTGGGAGCAAGATGTCTTGGCTCCATCTCGAAGAGACGGCCAGGAAGAGGCTGCCCCACTGGGGGCCATTGAGTCTGCCTCGCCCAGGGGTGCCCCACAGCCTGGGGGAGGCACTTGCAAGTGGCTGATCTAATGCTGCAACGGTGACGTGTTCTCAACTGCCTAGCAGCATTACAAGGTCAAACAGTGACTGAACAAGTCCAAGCGTGCACAAAGATTATTTTTGTTTGTTTCCTGTATTATACAAACTAGCTGGATGTGAATACAGACAAGAGGCAGGGCACCTGCTGATCCATCTATTCAGCAAAGCTTTGAACCAAAGCTTGGTTCCTGGTCTTTTCAGTCACCTTGCTCACAGTCTCTGATAGCGCTGTGTGCAGCTGATACAAAGCATTTTTACAAGGTACGTCCAGGTGGAGGCTACTGTGTGTGACAAACAGGGGTTTAAATCTTTCACCCTGCCTCTCCCTCACCTTAGCGCTTGGTGAAGGAGGCATTCGATTGCCAGGTGACTGTTGCACCTGTGTTCGAAGCACATTGTCCTGGGGCCAGGGCTGGCCTCAGATTATTAGGGGTACTAGGGCAAGACACCCTCAGTGAGTCCCCTGCCCCATGGGGTTCGCCCTTTCACCACCATTATCGCTACCTGCTGCTCTCACGCCTCTTCCTGCTCATCGTTGCTTTCTCTGGCCTGCTTGGCATCAGAGAGGACGGAGGCTGTGGCGTCCCTCCTCCTCCTCCTCCTCCTCTTCACCATCACCCTTGCCTAGGTCAGAACAAGATGCAGATGAACCAGCAAGGGAGCTGTTTGCAGTTGCAGTGAGGATGATGAGAAATGGTCTTCTGCTGCAGTTTTTTTTTGTTTTGTTTTTGTTTTTTGTTTTGCTCTATCCTATTTATCATTTATTTTAAATGTCCTATATACCGTCTGATTATTATAAAATCTCAGGACAGTTTACCTAGCTAGATTGGAGTGAGAATCCAGTGCATCGTGACCTGAGTTCGTTGAAGGAGGGGTGGGCTAGAAATGAAAGCCAGGATGGTTTAGTGGTTAGAGCATTGGACTGGGACTCAGAAGATCCCAGTCCCCACTCAGGCACAAAGTTCACTAGGTGACTTTGGGTCAGTCACTGATGCTCAGACTAATCTTGCAAGAAGGAAAAAAGACAAGATATAAAAGTAATACATAAAACATGATTTAAAATGCAATCAATTGATAATCAATATTATCAGTTTGTCACCTCTGATTTTCTTTCATTTTAGCATTTTGTTCAACGTACACAAAACAATTTTTTTACTGTATACAAAACTTTTTTAAAATTCAAATCAAATCATCAGGAAAAGAAAGAAAGTTCTTTTCTTTCCACAGGAAGTTTCTCTTACCTCCTAGTTTTGCAGGTTACATTTATTCCGTGCATTCTTTTTACGCCATCTGAACTGTCTTCTGTTTTCACCACTTAGGTCCTGTGAGGTGGCCAGAATGGCAAATTTTAGAGGCCATGCTCTTCCGGGAAGTTTCTTCATCCTTTTTGGCCTCTGGTGGTCTGTGAAATACTCGCTGAAACACCACATCAGGAAGTTGAACAAAAGTGGTCAGGTGCACCATAGCTTTGAGCGTCTGGAGCTCATTGAAGGATCAGTCAAAGTTGCCTTTTCAATAATAGGTGAGGCTCACAATATGAGTATTTGCCAAATATCAGGACTGCACCACCTGCAGTCCCCAATATCTGGACAGGGACAGACAAATACGTCAGCTTCAGTTTCTCTCAGTTATGTTTTTCCAGACTCGCATTTGGTACATTATGAAATGGTGAGGATTTTTTTTACAGATGATATGAAAAAACCATCTTTTTCTTTGCATTTCTCTAACACACACTTACTCAGACACACTTTTGGATGGAACATTAATACATCCAATTTTACTTATTTATTTTGCAAGCACTTTCCCGACAATAATGAATATTTAGCAACACATTCACTAATATCTTAAAGTGCACTTCCATGAATATAGATATTTTTGTAGAATTGTTTTCATTGGAAAACTCAACTGTACTGTTTCAAGAAGCATGCATTTTAAACAATAACGGGATTTAGTTTGTGTATTCATTTGGCAATGCCTAATTATTCAAGTCTGCTTTAAAATGCAGACTAAAAGTTCAATCTGAGTCAAGTTTAGGCAGAAACAAGTCCTACAACTCCCATCTTTCACTGGAATATTGGGAGTTGTGACCCTTTTTTTCTATGGAAACATGCATGGGATTATGTCCATAGAGCCAAAATTGGTTTCACATTACTCACAAAATTATTTAGGCTGGGACTGCTTTAAATACCAGACATAGGGCTTCCTGGTTTTCATCAAAACCTGTTCAGTTTTTTATTAATTGATCAAGATATCTTTGATACCTTAATCCAGATGTCCCAAACTTGGTGCCCTCCAAGTGTTTTGGACCACTTACTTCATCACACCTCACAGTTAATCATGACGGTTGAGATTGATGACAGCTGCCATCCTAAATATATGGATAGAGCATGTTGGAGATCCCTCAACATTCTTCTGCACTTCGTACCATGCTGAATCATGGATTAATCTAGCCAACTACATTGTTCGCTGTGCTTTCCCAACGTCCTTTTGGGCTTTGGGAAGGGCCAGAGCTCAGGGGGAGAGAGCCTGTTTTGCATGCGTCCAATCCCTGACAGCTCTAGGGAGGACTGGAAAGAACCCTGCTTCAACCATGGGAGAGCTTCCCGGTCTTTGCCAACAATATTGAGCTAGATGGACCAAGAGCTGGTTCTGATTCAGTATAAGGCATCCTAGGTTTCTACCTGCGTGAGGTCTGGTGTGGATTTTTGTTAATGAATTCTATTTTAGTTTTGTTTTGCTGTTTTAATGATTTTTTGCTATTTTTATTTTGCTGTTGATTTCTATAGTGCTCTGACAATGTACTGATTTGGAATTAGATGATAGCTGTTGTTAGCATTTGAATAATGAGGTGTGGACATTTTAAGAGAATAAAATAACTAAATGAAATATTGCAACCCTGTGGACATTTTAAGAGAATAAAATAACTAAATGAAATATTGCAACCCTGCCGCCATCCAACACTCAAAGACCATCTCCTGCTGTGGGTATAAATGATGGAAAAGCTAGCATAACTGTTCAAGAGCACTGTTCCTCCTTCTCCTTCTCCCTGAATTCCATGGGCATGTGCAGACCAAAACCTGTACTTCTCAGTTCCTAGTCTAACTATTGCACTGACTCTCAACTGGCTCTTTCAACATACCTTTGAGCAGAGCTGCTCACCTTTTCTTTCTGTTGCTTAGGGATCCTTGCTGAGCAGTTTGTTCCAGATGGTCCCCACTTGCATCTCTACAATCAAGAGCAACATCATTGGATGTACCTGATGAATTGGCAGCATTCGACCATGTATCTGTTCTTTGGCATCTCCGGAGCAATGGACATACTCACCTATTCACCAGCCAAAGCACCTGTAGGCCTGGATCGCCTCACGCTTGCTATTGCACTCTTTGTTGAAGGTAGGTACTCAAATTGAGGCTCACGATGCTTCCAGAATATGGCTGCATGCAAGCGCTCCCCTTCCCAAGATGTCATGCAGCAATTCCAGTTTTTCCTTCTTAATGGATTCCCTAAGATAAGGATTGTTGAGAGAAGCAATAGAATGACATACGAGGGTTACACATAGATGACACCACCATCTGGACCTCCCATAAAACTCCATGAATGGGGTACGACAATTCCACATTAAATGCTTCATCTGGAAGCACCCTTGAAATATTAGCAAGTAGATATTGGAAGGTAATTGTACCAAGGTCAAAACTCTCCTCCGTCTTGCTCACTGACTGATGGTGGCTTTAGAGTGTGTCAGACAGATGTTTCCCAGCCCCATCTGGAGATGTCAAGGACTGGGCCTGGGATTTTTTGAATACTACAGATCTCTAACACGGTGTCATTGCTTAATGGTGTAGTTGGGGGAGGGAAAGTCTGGAACAAGTTGTGGTTCTCCTGAAGGTTAATTTTCACAGCTTGGGCTTGTTCCCTTACCCTACACTGTCCATGGATCGTCAGATGACATCCATGCAAAGGAGTGACTGCCGTATTGGTGCACCAGCCATGACCCTTCCTGAGTCGTTCTGCTTTGCCAACAGTTATCCATGCCTTGGTTATATCAGGTTTAGTCTACTGCAGTGTGCTCTGTGTGGAAATAATCTTGAGGAGCACCCAGAAAAAAATATTTGGATCAATGATCTGATTAAGACTTCTTCATGTATGCATATAGTTTACCCAGAGAGTCAACAGTGCAGTGTGGTTCTTTCTCAGGCAGTTGAAAGTGGGATAATCATTTACAGTACATAAATTCTTCCTGCTTTTGCCAGGCTATCTCTTTGGTGTGAAACGGAGGTGAGCACCGCCTGTAGAGTCGGACATGACTAGCATACATGTGTCAGGGAAACCTTTACCTTTTACCAAGAAATGTTACAAGCTGTTGTAGAAACCTTGCAAAACCCATTTCACTAAGAGCAGTAGATCACAGGGCAAAATCAACATACTTGATTCAAAATCAAGCCAAATCCCTTAAAAAACATTGTGTGCCTCCAACCTTAACAGCTCTTTCTTGCATCTTTTCACGTTCAGTTTTCTCTCATAGGACCCGTGACTAAATATTGGACAGGAAAGTCACATGAGCCTACACAGGGTGGAGACTATAACCAGCAAAACTGAAGATTATATTTTGGCTGAAGTCAGGCTAGGGATCATGGAGAAATCCACTGCAGAGTCAAATGAATTCAGCTTTTCTATGAATCTGACCTGCAGATTCTTCAGTGGATGACCTTTTTTTCCAGATCGTCCAGATTCTGGGGACTTGCAGACTTTCTCTCTTCCTCTCCTCTCCTCTCCTTGTAGATGAGCACAATTGCATTTGTGCTCATTCACATCAGCTAATGCACATTTACACAAGTAAAATGAATTTCACCAAAAACAAAACCAGGTCCATCAGTGAGTAGAAGATGCAACAAAAACTGCCCGACAATCTAAGAAACAGAGATGGAACTGATTTAACAAAATCCACACATCCTGAAGCCAAGCTGCTCTTCTTATACCAACCCCTAATTAATGGCAGGGAATCAAAGGCTCCCCATACAAGCTGCTCTAGATCCCTCAGGTGGTGCAAGGCAGCCATCCGTTGTCATGCTGCAATAAATGGCTAGCAGAGGTTGCTCTTGTCTTCCATCCATCAGGCTTCACCCCTGCAACTTGCTTATCCCCAGAGAGCAATTAATGCCTCTCTAGGCAATGTTGAGGGTTGTCTGCTGGTCTGCTTTCACCTGGAGTTTGAGACTGAAGCAGCAGACTCACTGACTGAGATTCACACTGAGAAAAACATTGCTTCCATGTCTAATTTCCATGGAAGTCTGCAGCCTAAATTTCGGGCCTTCCTTGTATTAAGCGGGGCAAATAGATCAGAGCAGGAGACAGGCTGTTTCTCCTCTTCATGTTTCTTGGTGTGTTCACTTGGGAGCCATTAGAAGATCTTTTGCAATTTCAAGACTGGGATAGGGAAGACAAAGAGAGAAGGAAGGAAGATTAGGAGATTATGGGACAAAGGCTAGAGGGTCTTCAGGTCCAACCCAGACATTTTTGATTGGTGTTGAACTTGTGCCATATTAAATGTAACCATAAACAACAATTAGAGTCCTTTAGGATATGGATTCAAAAGGAGTTTATACATATAAAGAACTTGTCAAAGTTGAAAGGATAATCTTACATAAGGAATTTGCCCAGAAGTTGCCAGGTAAGAACTCCTGCTTTATAGCTATAGTTACTGCTCACAGTAAAATGGTTATCAGTGGCATAAAACTGTGATTTATGAGTGCAGAATGCCCACATCTATGAAACAGGTCTGCAAATTTTATGCCTAAGATTGGCATCTTATCACTCTTGTGCCTTCTAGTATCCACCATGCACAAAAAACACACACCTACTTTCCTTAGGAGATGAAATCACAGTTGGAATTTCCATTCAGAGCTCAAAGCAACCTGCCAGAATTGAGGTTATTTGGACACCATTTAGGGACCCCATGAGATCAGTCCATTTCATCCACTCTAGTTCACATGGACTGAGAGGGCACAAGCATCTTGAGGGCTGGCCAGCCTAGTCCTGATCTAGGTGCCATCCTTTTGGAGGGGCTTTCATACCGTCAAAGAGGTACTGCCTGTCCTAGAGCAGCCTGTTCCTTTGACGCAGGAGGGATGACGGCTGCTTGGGATGTGAAGGAATTGCTGTAAACTTCTATGCCATCCATGCTCTCCTCTAGTGCATATGTGAGTCAAGGCTGGGGAACATGACAGGAGCATCAACACACACACACACACACACACACACACATGTTTGCACACTGTATAAAGCCAGTGGGAGGGTCATCATTTCTTTAAGCAACCAATTCACAGGTTCTAATTTCCCTCCTGCCTGGATTTAACGCATCGGCTCATTTTCCCCTGACCTATCACAAGGAATGCCATTGGAAAGCTTGAAAATACTGATATGCCAACTCAGTGCTGTTCATTCTGCCATGGATGATGCTATAGTAGAATATGGAGTGCCCCTTTGTAATTCAAGTATGTCTTCATAAGAGTGATAATGCAATATATGTTTTTCTGTGACTGCAATTTTGAATGTGGCATGCATCTCAACAGGCTTCCTTTTCTACTTCCACGTCAGCAATCGACCCATGCTGGACCAACACATCCATTCCCTGCTCCTGACGGCCATCTTTGGGGGTGCTGTCAACACCTTCATCGAAGTTTTCCTCCGAGACAACATAATCTTGGAGCTCTTCCGCGTCACCCTTGCCCTTCTGCAAGGAACTTGGTTTTGGCAGGTTGGCCACACTCCTTATTGTGACGGCATTCAGGATGGGCATTTGTATGCATTTTTAATGTTTTAATTATCACTCTGCCGTCCACTTTAAGTAGCTGGACACCTTGTTCATATTCTTCCTTTGTTGCCTGACCCTGCTTCTACCTCCTGTACATATTCTTTTTTCTTTGAGGTTGTCACTTAGCTCTTTGTGGAGCCACATGGGTTTCCTCTGTCTTCTTCTATACCTTTTTCTTGTTGGAATTGTTTGTAGTTGTGCTTGGAGAATCTTCCTTTATCTTATTTACATTAATATTGTCTCCTGCTGTTGCTCATATTTACTTTCTGTCCAGATAGGTTTTGTGCTGTACCCACCATGGGGAGAACCAGTTTGGGATGAAAAAGATCACAGCAACATGATGTTCATTACTATGTGCTTTTGTTGGCATTATGCCACAGCTATCCTCATTACAAGTGTGAACTATATCCTGATTCATTGGTAAGCATTCTGGAAACTTAAAATCATTGGCCTTGATCCACATAAAATGGCATTGCACATGACCCTCCATGCACAAAACATGCACCATTCATTTTATTTTGTAAGAAAATGTGCAGGGTATCACAAACTTCAGTAAGTAACTAAGGCAAGGCATGGGGTTGGCTTGCAAAACAGGCTAATCCATGAGCAAGAAAACAAGTCAAGAAGATTGCTGTCTTTTATTGTTTCTGTAATGTTTCCTTGCAGTTATTGTTTTATAGCGTCTTCAGTGCTGTTTACATTTTATTTGTGCTGTATTCTCTCTGCCCAGATTGGGCAGAAAGAGTGGGCCATCAACCAGAGTGCACATACTGCTTGCTTGGGCATGCATAGGAATGTCATATGACTGTTAGACTTAAGCTTCAAGTCAGTGTTAGGAAAGCCTTTATCCTGATGCTTGTCCATGGACCTGGAACTACGCTAGATTAGATGGACAAAATGAGCTGTCTACAAGACCCAAGGAGAGGCCTTCTCTCCTAGTTTATAATCTATAAACTTCAGATTATATTGTCCTGAAGCTTAACTACATCAGGTAATATTGGCCAGTATACTAATACTGTCTTTCTGCATACTCCTGAATGTATGGAAACACTGCCAGTGGTTGGGGTTGGGGTTAGGGGCCAAAGTCTGGAAGTAGTTTGGGTTGGGCAGACAAAGCAAGCATTCAACCAAAGTACCCTGCATGCTTCCTTTCAACATTTGGTGGTTCAGGAATTATAGAGTTTTTACATGTTAGAGGGATGCATTTAACATTGTTTTAAGAGTTGAAGTGCATCCTTCCTTCTCCCCACCACAAAAGGTGAGCAAAGCAAATAGTGCAAATTTAGAATTTTTTAATATATAATTTAAATAGGTAGGGAGTAAATGTCACCATAATGTGGAAGATTACGATCAGGGGACCCTTGCACTTTTGTTTTCAGTCTGCTTTTCAAATGCTGTTGATGGACTGTAATTCTGTATCTTTGCACTGGAACTGCGCATGACAGCCATTCAAACTCTGCTTGTCATTGTTCACAGTTACATCAGGAACTGTCGAAGAAATGATGGGCAAATAGAGTTCAGGCTTGGGATTTGGAAGAAGAAGCATGAGAACATTGCACACACGGCCCTCTTAAATGGATCCGATGAGGAATGAGCCAAGATGCCTGCTTTGTTGGTGTCTCTCATCTTCAGAAGACTCAAGAATCAAACTTCGGAAGTATTAGAGAATACAGTTCCCAAGAATGTTCTGCTGCAGAAAACCAAAGCACCTGTGCTGTCAGAAGGCTGCAGTGCATCAGATTTCTTTACATCTCCTTACCATGAAATGTATCATTATGTAGACTCCACTTCCCCAAGTAAGTGAGAAGTTCTGGAGGTGCAACACTTGATGATATTTGGTTTCCTTTTAAAGAAGGTCTTAATGAACTTATGACATAAGATGAGGATGAGTGAAAGCAGACAGATTAAAGCCTACATGAGATGTCCAAAGATTAGCAGCTTTAAACTATAGTAAAAAAATAATGTATTTTTAGAAGCCCATATACAACTAGGGTGCTGGCTTTGTATCAGAAGGAGCTGGACTGACATTCCTGTTTCATCAGACATTCCATCAGTCCAATCAACTTTGTGGGGTTGTCATCCATGCAAAATAGATCATTTCACTTATGCCACCGAAGCATCTTAGTTGGAAAGATGGAATGCAAATGGAACCCAACTTCAACCCTGGAGTGGATATCTAGCAGAGGCAAGCTACAAGTGCTACAAATTTCAGCTACTCTTCCGAAGCACACCTATGTGACGAAGAAACTTACTTTGACACAATAATTGTTATTTTATAAGGTTCTGGATGCCTCTGTCCAATCTCTTTCTGAAGCTCTCCATCCTTCCAAGTTCTCTTGTTTTATGTATGAACTCCTGAAGAGACATATTTCTCCAGCTGCTACGCCAGCCAGCCATCCCAAGTTTCATCATTCTACTCCTTCTTCCACTTCCTAAAAAGCACCAGCGTTCATCAGAGACAGGCATTTCATACCATCCTCACATACCAAGTTGGGTAGTCACCTGGATGGTCACATGACTATTCTGAGAAGTGCCTCCCAGGTGGAAATGCTATTTTATTTTTAAAAAAGAAACAAATGGGCTGCTAAAAGCATGAAGGGAGGTTTTCTAAAACAGAAAGAAAGCCTGTAATTTACCAAAGGTACAAATGTCTGCATGCATTTCTCATTGCAAAGTTTGAATAAATGCAAATTTTGAAGGATTTTAGTTTGTATATGGTTCAAAAGTACAAAGTTAAATAAATGCACATTAAAATGAAACCTGGACTGATTTCTCCTTCACTCCTAGTGACAGAAATGTAAACTATATAATGACTCAAATGCTTAATTTTGCCACTTCCCATCTTATGAATTGCTTTTCTATTTCAGCTGTTTTAAGAAAAAATGCTACTATCAAATATTGTATTTTTAAGTTGATTGCCATGATCTGTTTCTCCCCCAGTCATATTTACCTTACAAACAGGCATTCTTTATATGCATGTTTTGTATGCATAAAACATTTGAACAGCCGTCCTTGTCAGTGAAAATGCAGCAAGTAGACAAGATGCGTGATCTGAGGAGACAATGAATGAAGGATCCATGAATGCCATCCCAATGAAGAGCTTGCCAAAGCTGCCCTTGCAAATTGAAGACAGCAGTGTTTGCTTTGCCTTCTGGGATAATGTGGCGGTATAGCAAAGACTATAAAATACCACATCGATTGCATCAAGTTGGACAACTCCTAGTGCTCCCAGTAAGACAGTGTTGCACAGTTATTCCAGCTTTTTCTCCACAACAGATTTCTGTCATAAGGAAAAGGAAGAAGATAGAAGAAGTTGGAAGCCACTGGAGGGTTACAGATGGCATCTGGGAATGAAGCAGGGAAATGGTATGGGGAAAAATTAAGAGCTTAAGAAGAGCCATGATGGATCAGACCTTGGATACATCCAGTCCAGCATTCTGCCCACTGATCCATTTGGAAGCATCCTCCAAAATCTTAGAAGAGGAGTGACATGAGCATAACCCACTGTATGCATGAAATGCTGGGTCAGTTCTAGAGTAGACCTGTCTCAGCGTGTGGAATATATGTGTGCATGTGTGTGTGCATCTATATCTAGACAGGTCGTCATCTGGACACCTACCAGCTCCATAAGAAAAGTGAGCAGATACTCATCCTATAGCTGGATTTGGCCCTTCAGTTATAAGGGAAGTGACTCAGTGCTACAGCACCTACTTTGCATGAGGAAGGCTGCAGCTTCAATGGCTGCATTGCCATTTAGAAAGGATCAGGTAGCAAGTGATGTGAAAGAGACTCTGGGAAGCATTGCCAGTCAGGGTAGACATACTGTAAGTGCATCACTTGGACAAATAGCACCAGCTGCCTTAACAGACATCTGTTCCATGCCTGTCTTCTTGAGCCCAAAGTTGTACAGAGGCTTCAGGCCATCACTGTGTTTTCCAAAGGAGCAGTTCATCCTACCATTACCAGCAAGGATGATTAAAGGAGAAATTCGGATACATTCTCTTCAAGGAATCTCAAAAGTGGGGCAGGGGGTGGGGGGCTGGGGAGAGGGAGAGCTTTCTAACCTACCAAACCATCACCCTAGGCATTTTTCTAAGCATGAATGAATTCAGTGTGTTCATTTTTTAGTGGGGTAGAATCTACTTAACCTCCCAATCCAAGTCAAGTGGCCAAAATAGGGCAGCAAAATCTCAGTTCAAAACTGAAGATCTTGTTTATGGTGTGTGACAGCAGTGGCAGACTTCAGGTCTGACAGATTGAATTCGGATGTTTTTTATCAGAATCACAAGGTGCAGCAGATAAAGAAAAAAATCCTGGTTTTGGGAGTGGGGGGGTTCTGTGCACTTAGAATTAAAGATCGGGGAACTTCTTGACACAAGTTCAACCCCCACTACCCAGATAGTTTTCGGGAGTTGAAGGACACAAGGATCTGGACCTGATGTGCTTTGCCCAGTCAAGCATAACAAGACTCAGAGGCTCAAAACTATTTTATTCTCAAAAATAACGTGATTGCAAACAAAAGGGCAATTGACCCCAAGCACATGGTGGAGTTCCCTATTATACCTATGCTGACTGGGTAGCAACGACAGGTGTCCATTGGTTCAAAATTCCCACCACAAGTGCTCACTGCTAAATTTGCAGTCAGGTAGTTCACATCCTGACCTGGGAGGCTGGGCTACCTGGGAGGCTGGGCTGGGAGCTCTGGTGGGGGATTCCTCAATCCCTGGTGGAATTTTCATAGATGATGCTTGGGGCTGGCCTAGTAGGGCTGGCCTGGAGCACAGCTGCTCTGAGCTTCCCAGCAGGATATGTCCCGCCAGGGCTGGTGACCAAGTGCTGGACTTGGGGACTTGGGCCTGATTCAGAGGGAGAAGCTGCTCTTATCTTCCAACTCACTGTTTCGTTCCTCCACTTCCTGTTCCAGGCAAGATGAGATAATGCGATGTCAAACATGTCCTGCCCCCACACAGGCACACCCCCTCCCTTCCTCTCTCTATTATACTGCTGGTTAATTATGATCACCATAGAAATATAATCAACAACACTTCCCTCCTTTCTAAAATCTTCCATCTGTTGAAGCTGTTTGACAAAACTTTAATTAAATTCTCCCTCCCTCCCTCCCTCACACACACACACTGACACCACAAAACCCCTGCTTGGGAGGGAAATGTCGTTTGAAATGCAGGTTCTTTGCCAAAACACAAAAAAGGCAGAAGAATGTTGTGCCCGAAACAGAAATTTGCATCCTTGCTGGAATTCTGTGTGGTTGTTCCAGAGGAATCCAAACTCTGCATGTAGCTCCTTGGTTTGTCATCTGGATCAGCCACTGGCAGTGAGAACCTTTTGCCAGATGCATGCCGTAGCAGCCAGGGAAATGGCTTTGAAATGGGAATTGTGGGACCCCATCATAGAGAGAATCCTGGCCTTTCCTCAAGAGATGGTAATGATGGTCATCATCCTCCAGTTTCCCGAAAATAATGGAAAGCAAACAGAAAAGAGAAAGAGAAATGATGACGACGCTCTTACATGGACTGTATTGGCTTCACTGGAGAGAATTCCAGGAACGCAGCACATGGTCAGGTTTGGCTTCTTTAGGAAGGAGTGTCCCCGAAGACTTAATCTTTGGGTTTATGTTGAAAGCTGCAAGTTGAGCAGACTGCTTGACACTCATGAAGCTATCCAGTGATGATGGCCATATATTGCCTCCAGTACCAGAGGCAATATGTCTTAGTGTACCGGTTGCAGTTAACACGAGCCACCCCCACCAATGTATCTGGATTGTAGACATCCTGTGGGACACACCTGTTTGGTCACTATGGGGACAAGATTCTAGATGGAGTTGGCCTTCAGTCTGGTACCACACAGTTCTTGCATCCTTAGGCCAGGGGTTCTCAACCTTTTTGAACAGGGGGCCAGTTGAAAGGCGCCAGTGATGGGCGCAGGCTGCCAAGGTGGTGTGGTCGGGGGGTGCAGGCTGGGCTGGGGGGGGTGCATGTGGTGAGGCAAGGGCAGGAGCATGCAGAGGTCACTCCAAGCGAGTCCAAAACAATCTCCTTGCACACGCACTGCAAGGTGGAGGCTTGCTCACAAGGAGATCCTTTTCTCTGAGCGAGTCCAAAATGAGCCCCACACAAGCAAGTAGCTGCCTCACCACATGGCGGGCTGGATAAATGGGCATGGCAGGCCGCATCCGGCCCGCGGACTGTAGTTTGAGGACCCCTGCCCTAGGCCCTTGCATTTCTAGCATGCAGCAGATTCCCTCTATCAGGCCCTGAGCGTTCCCCAAAAGCTGCTCCTATTGGCTTACACAAACACACAGCTTACCTCATGCTGGGATCTTCCGCAATCGTGCTTGTAAAATGGTGCCTGCTCCAAAGCAACATCCCCTGATTTTCCTGGCCTGTTAACAGACAATTAGCCTGAAAAGGGATATGATCGGGTCTGAATGGCTGACATTCAATAACAATCCAATTAAAGGCAAAGGGAGCACGTAAAAAAGCAAATTACCAGCAATGAAACTTTAAGACACGAGTCCTAACAGCAGCATGCATAGCTACCTCTCAGAAACAGAAGAAACAGAGAAGGCTTACTAAA